AATTTAATTGTAAAAAATAACGATGAAGATTTTTATGGAGCTGAGCATAATTTTTAAAATTAAGTCTACCATAAATTATAACATCTCTTAACTTCAACACTGCGTCGCTTGTGTTTCTTATTGTTGGAGCTAAATTTTTTTCAAGTCACGATTTTGGCCAAGGGTAATGAGCCCAATTCTGAAAAGTGGTGTTCGCATCGGAGTGACCAGCTTGGCTCTTTTTTATTCACTGTGAATTATGTAAAAGGTCAATACTATTAATAACTCTGCCGACGCTCAGAACACGGTTCTTGCGCTCACAATAAATTCCCCTTATTATCCTATAATTATTTGATAAAACATCACAGCTTGAAAAACACACGGACACGCACATACACCAACCCTGCACAACAATTCATGAATCATGTGATTTTTTCCTCTAGCCGCGCGCTTCGGTAATGAAAAGTTCAAAAGGTTGCCGAGAGTTAAGTACTCTCTCTCTTTCCCTGGATAAATATACACAAAGCCGAGAGGGTCCAACACGAATTTATGGTCTCTCTCCCACCCTGATCGCGCACATAAAAATTTCCTCTTCTCCGGACCATTAAATAATAAAACGCGAGTTTAACACCAAGTGTTTCTCGTATACAAACGCGGCGTGCGCAGTTAAAAAATCGCCAAACGCAACCCTAACAATGAAAAGCTTTGATTTTTCACACAAGCCAACAGTTTTGTTAAGCTGCGGCAGCAAACAAAACGCAGAGAAAGAGAGACCAATGCTCCTTTTTGGCTTATTAGCACCATGTGTTTCTCTTCTCCTTTCCCACAGGCTGATCCTTCCTACTCGATCTGCGCGTCAATTCGTCAATATGAGAGCTCTTTGATTGTGGTTGTGAATGGGAAAAGGATACGAGATAAGTTTAGACAAAATATCTTCCTATACATTTTAGTTTAAAAAATACAATATTCTTAAAATACGTATAAGGTTAATTAAAGTGCAGTTATTTATTTTCTTATTTGTGAATTATATTTCATTTATTATATTATTATTGTTTTTATTTTTTTACCCGACTTCTGAATAAAGACTAATTTACATTGAAAAATTTCATCTGATCTAATAAATAATTCTTCCAGCCCATAATAAGAAGTTCATAAAGTATTTAATTTCTCTGAGAAGCAGAGACATTATAGTGGATTTTAATCTTCAATACAAAATGATTAAATATTACATGGCTTTTTAGAATTTAGTGACAGCTAAATCGAGACCAATTGCGTAATAATTAAAACTTAAAAAATCACTGACAATTTTTGGCATACATGTAAATACCGTTTTTACAATTAAAAAAGCTGGCACCCTTTCAAGCGAAAACCACATTGCTCCTTCTTTTTAAAAATATAACTTTAATTAGATGTAAATACAATTTTTGAAACATAAGGGGATCTCGTTAAACTTTACATATAATTAATTACGCCCATTTATCTGCTCGCTTCAGCACGCTCAGGGCAAATTGACTTGGTTTCAGAAATGCAGATGGACAGAGCAGATAATGAGGCGGCGTGATGTTTTTCGTGGTCGGTCTTTGATGGACACGTGAATTTGATCTGTTTACTTAATGAGGAGGCGAGAGCTACCTGAGAATGGTGTGTTGCTTTATATTTTCGTAAAAGGAATTGAGTTGTTTATTCTCGCCGAGGACGCCGCAATTTATGTTAATAATTATATTGAGATCGGACTGTAGATATTCAAATTTGATACTCCAAATTTGGAAGTGGTCATTTTATATATTCGTCTCCTCCCCTGCGTGATTGCATTTTTATTTTTGTTAAATAATGTATTGGCGCCTTTTTCAAATTATAAAACACCGCGCCATGTGACGTTTTGTGCTCTTGTTTACGAGCGAATAACGTGAATTGGATGGTAAAAGCGGCAGATTGACTGATTGACTGTCCGGATTCATATATTTATTAAATTTATTAAATGTCATCCAAATCAGTCCAAATAGAATCTATTCGCATACAGTTTTTAAAAGTGTAGTTATTAGCTAAAACACCAAAACTCTTTAGAAGATGCATAATCAAATATTTTGATTAATTAATAATATTTTTAGGAAATAATTTCATTTAAAATTTAACTTTGAAAAGTAAAAGGCACTTCTGAAGGAGCAGTGTTAGTGAGTGTTAAAGAGATGCACTTTTTAAATTTAGCATTCAAAAATTGTTTTCTGCATGTAAAATTTTTTAAACTGAAATTAACTCAATTTTGGTTAAAAAAAAAATGAATATCCAGAATTTTCATCAAATTTAATTTGATATCTTAAAATCGTAAATAGTTTTATAGACCCAATGAAATGTTTTTGAAATTTACGAGTTGCCAGTCCAGACACAACAAGAGATTAATCAGCACTAAATACATTTTACGCAGACAGACATAAATCTATGGTCGTCCTCCCCAATGCAAAATGTCATTTGGTATTCGAGGCAGGTCGTCGCGCGGCCACTCAGCGCGAAAAAACAGCGATTCCCACGCTGCGGTTTTGAGCAAAGGCGGGCAGCGTGGCCTACGGACGGACGCTTTTTGCTCGGAATCGCTTCATTCTGATGCGTGTTCGTCCTTTCACATTCAATAAATAATAACACAGCAAGAAACATGTGTTCTCGCCGACGTGGCCTTATATGGAGCTGCGCTTTAATTGACTCCTCTTCTTTATTTATGAGACGCTCCTTTCGCCCCCGACCTGCTGCGCCGAGACAAATGCACAAACGCTAATTAAAACAGGAACTTTTGGACTCTAGCTGATTTGCATGCAAATTGAACTTAAAAGTAACTTTGTCAATAAACACTTGTCGCTCTATCTGTTCTAAAATAAAATTTTGGAAATTTTATTTACTATTATGCTAAAAAAAAAATGATATCATGGATGTTTTACATGATAAAATGAAGATTTGCGAGGCAATATAAGTTCCATTGCATCATCATCATAAAAGATAAGGTACAAAAAATGTAAATATTAAAATGCTTTGGTTATTTGCTCGTTTGAAAATAATTTTCAAATACACAATAAAATTAATCTTATTTAACGTCTTTAACATTCTTGCGTCAGCACTGTATCACCATTTTCTGCGTAAATAGCTTATACTGTGTTTATCGAAAGGAATAAAAAACAAATTTCTGTCAACTACATGAATAACAAACATTGAAGACACGCACAATCAAGTAAGATAATTATATTTTAATTATTTAAAACAAAAAATTTCAAGTTATACAATAACTTTTAACTGATCAATTATTCAAAAAATTTTGAAATTTTGGTAGGGAAAGTCTTTAAAAAACGATCAGAAAAGATTAATGCCCTTTTCAGTGAACTTGCCAAAATAATTGTTTATTAAATAAATTTTGTTGCACAAAATTTTCATTCCGAGCCCAGCCGCTTAGATATTAGCAATTTTTACTGTGTTTAATAAATTTCATTGTCATTTAAAAACGGTTAACGGCCACATTTACAAAGTGTGTATCTCTGAGTTTGCGCCGAGAAAAGTTGCCTGATTTTGTTGTTGTTGTTAAAAGAAGAGATATCAGTGCAAGAGTTTCAGTATAAAAAGAAAAGCTAGTTGTTGCAATCCAATTCATTCACCCCATTCACCATGAATGCAACTTTTGTGCTGCTCCTGTTGCTGATAGCTATTTCAGAAAGTGCACCCTTAAATGACAATGCAGCACCACTAGATGTCCAACCACTTAAGGTATTTTTCCGTTACTGTATACAAATTATAATTTAAAATAAATTTTCACATCTAATTTTAGGATGGATGCGATCTAATACTCCCGTTGAAAAGACACTCTAGGGCTTGCCCATGTACTGACAAATTCCCTTGTGGTCCTAACGAGGGATTGTTTTTCCCGGTTGCAGCACGAATTTGTTTCTTGTCTTGCAACAAGTGCCTGCCATCATGCTGCCCTCGACAGACCGTTGAAACAGGCCAACAAAATGTACTTTTAGATGATCCAGCCTTAACCACAACAGTAACACCAACAACTACAACATCGACTACGACAACAACAAAACCAACTACAACGACCACGACTACAACCACAACAACTACAAAACCTACTACGACAACTACTACCACAACAACTGCAAAACCTACTACAACAACTACAACCACGACAACGACAAAACCTACTACGACAACTACAACCACGACAACGACAAAACCTACTACGACAACTACAAAACTGACAACGACAACAACAACACCGACCACGACAACAACAAAACTAACTACAACAACAAAAAATCCGGTTGATACTGGTGAGTTTAACCTAAATGAAGGAACAACAACGACAACAGAAAATACCATGTGCAGGTGTCCAACTTATTAGAACATATGCATATTATAAAGATGCAAATGTAATGTTTTAATTTAACATTTTTTGTGTATTTAAAACTTGAAATTATTTTACTTATTTATTATTTTCGCAATCATTCAATACAACAATTTGAAATTTCAAAAAGAGACGAAAAGATTTAAAACCAGCAGATGTCTGCTTAAGCGCCCGATATATATGTGAATAAATAAAATTTTCAACAAAACAACAAGAATGTTTGAAAATATTGGCTAAATAAATTTCAAAAAATGTCAGTATAAATGGTTGTTGCGCATTCCAAAGTACGTGTCACTAATTCCAAAACATTTATAGTTCCAACAAGAAGTTTTGTTTGATTTGATTTTTAAAAAAAAATTGTACATGTGTTTATTTTCATGGAAGGAAATTTTAGTATTTATTTTATTTCACATTAAATATAAAGCTTATACAGCAAATAATGACTTTGATTGAGGGAACTAGATCCTTTTAATATCAAATACTTGAAATTGAAGTCTTGAAGTGCCTGCTAGATTATTTCAGGTTTGAAAATTAGCCTTGACTTGTCAGCAGAAAACCGAAACCTGCAAACTCGGCGCTTCACGGCGAAGGTGAATCTCGCGCTGAGATAAAAACGCATGTATTTAAACTGAACGCTGCTACCTCTTAATTCAGTTTTTCTTGCTCCTTTGTCCACCAAGGAATATATGATGGTCTCAACTCGAGTTTTCCTTTTGGTCGTGGTGTCCGTCGCTCTTTGCGACGCCGCGTGCCTCAAAAGACACAAACGGCATCAAGATAGGCATCTCAACTCGGATGAACTCGACGACCTGATCAACACCCTGATCTCAGCCCTGGAAGTTAAAATCGCCGCGACCAGGGCTGCCAGGGACCTTCAGGCCCCCGTTGTTCCTTCGAATGAAAGTCCGAATGCCACCAAAGTGCCAACCATACAACCTGAGCTTCGAATGGCCACGACTGAACTTCCTCAAGGTACCGGGACGACGGCGGCGACTTTAAGTGAATCCGTCCAAAACCCTGCGGAACAAACGTTTACCAAAGCTGACGAGGTTTCACAAAATGCAGCTATCGAAACTTCAGATTCAATCACGGAAATTGTTCCTCGAAATGCTGAGGCTGTCCAAGAAATGGCACAAAGTCCAGCGGCCTCGCTGAATCCTGTCCAACAGGGCCTTAACAATTTGAATTCTGAGAGTGAAAGCACCAACAGGGATCAAAGGGTACGAAGAATTACTAACTTAATTTAATGTTTTTCTATTTGAAACCAAAATTTGGTTGTAATTGGTTGCAATGTGCATTATTTATTTTAATGACTATACACATTTTAGATGCATGATTGTGAGTTTGACAAATAAGATATTTAAAGTGCTAAAAGCTAATTTTTTTAATTATATCAATACAGTTGTTTTCTCATCTTCAAATATTTTAGAAAAATTAGAAGAAGGATTGGTAAAATTTATAATCATGTAACATCAAATGACAAAACGGCCGGCGATGGCCTTTCTTAGCAATTGATTATAGGAACTACAATATGCTATCATTTTCTTTTTTATAAGTAGATGCTGGATTTTATATCATTTTCTGTTTATTAGTCAATAAATTAAATTAATGCTAAATTATTACATTTTATAGATAAATCTTGAGTGAAATTGTTTTTTTTTCTCATAAAAACGTGAATGAAACAAATTATAATGACAAAATAAGAGAAACCGGGCTTTATCCACTTACTAATGTCTTATGTAAAATAATGTTTAAATTCTATTCTATTGTATTAAAAATTTATTTATTTCTTCTTTCAGCAATTGCCTTCAAACTTCCAATGCTTCTGTGGCCCTAACACGCCAATGTGGACTTTTGATTTAGGGAACATTCCCGTTCTCTGCAACGCATGTGGAAATAGCAAGTGAAAATTAATTTATAATTCGCATTATTCCACTCGTGGTAGTTGATCTTGTACATAAATAAATGTTTACAAAAAATTATCCAACCTTCATAATTTTTTCCATATCAAATTGGAAATCAACTATATTATAGTATTCCTTTGAAAAGCAATTATTTTGCAAATTACAAATCGCACGCAATTACAAATTAGCACGGTCAATTTCTAAGTCTGCGAATACACAACAATAAATCAGAGCGTGTAATCGTTGTACTTCCAACCAAGCAAGGTTTGTAATAAAACGATATAAATTATACACGTCACTGCGGAGATCGCAAAACATGAGGGCCCAGCATTGTTAATTCCCACAAGAGGAAAATTGCCCTGATTATTTCCTTGCAGAGATTAGCACTTAGTTTATCTCGCGGCATTAGATATTTTTTGCCGACCAAATCAAGTATGTAATCGTCGGTCTTTAAGGATCCGCGAGAAGTTTTATTATATGAAGACATTTTTCATTTCATTAGCCGAGCGGTGCGACTTTTAAGGCTTGATCATTATCAATTTAATAAAAATTAAAAATCCCGAGGCCTAAAGGATTTTCGCGGCAATCAAGGAGCTCCGAGAGCGCTTTTAGAGGATCATAGTCTATAATTAGCAGGTAGCTCACACCAAACACAATTTTTTCTTTTAATTTCGAGGTGCGGCCCAGAGAGGAAAATATGCACTAGTGCTTTATTTTTTTTCTTTCTTTTGATATGTTATTCCGCCCAGAGGTGTATAATTAGACTAATGGTCTCGGCGTTGACGACCCATACAATACCCGGGTGATGAGATAATGCCCCTCTCATATAATCAAGACGCGCATTCAAATTTTGTGTTCGGATTGCTGCTGGCCGCCATATAAAGAAGACATAAGTGATAATGCGCGGCGAGCGTCAAATTATCGCCAGCAGGTGATTTGCACCAGAAATGTCATAATTAAATGTAATTTGGAGACTTGAAATTTCGTGTCGACGAAAAATCCTCGGTATGCCTGTGCTGTGCTTCTTTTTCTTTTCATAAACGTAATTATCCCCCTTGGGTGGTTCATAAGGGTTATTCTTTGGCCGCATAATCAGTTTTGGAATTTTTCAAATGTTCTCCACCATGCGTGTGGCTACTTTAAATTCGTCATTAGTTGTTATTTATGCTAATTTGTGTAAGGGCTGGGTAAAATATAAAAAGCCTAATGAGAAAGCGTTCAACAGTGTATAATTCTTGTTAAGATTTTGAGTCAAAATTTTCATATGAAGTAAAAAAATTATCATTTTTCTGTAGTGAGTGCTATAATGTGAGGAGTGTTTTTTTTTTTTTTTTTTTTTTTTTTAGTTTTCAGCCGTAAAAATAATAAGCATGAATAGGAGATTCTAATAGGCTAAATACATTGACTATAACTAACTTGTAAGATAGGCTCTTTTTAGCATTGGATTTAAAAAACCTTTTCAGTTATATTATTATTTTGTAACAAATAATTTTGAATAATTGGACCAATCAACTATAATTATACTTTGTAGAATTTTGATGAGATAAAAAAAAATTTTTTTTTTATAGCGAATTAATGAAAGTTTTTTAATTTTTAACCACCTAAAATTAAAATCCTTGATTTCTTTAACAGTTGTTGAGCAACAACTGTTAAAAAAAATCACTACAATTTGGAAGATTTTCAGGAATTTTTGAATGGAAAAGGGCACAATTGAGTCCTCAACTTACATTGCTCACACGTATATGGAAATGTGCCAATTTTGGTAAATATTATATTTATATTAATTTTACTTCACCAAGCATTTGATGCTTTTCTATATTTTTGCAGATCCATGTCACAATCATTTTTATGCCCACCGTTAGCCATGAGCTGCCAACTGTGTCTGCTGCGTCGTATCAAACAGGAAAGACCATAATTTTTTTATTTGTTTATACTTGGCGAGAGAGTCGCGCGCGCCCGCTCGCGTGCATGGATGGTTAGATGCGTGGTCGGAGATGAAACGATAGACAATAACACACACGCAGCATCGCTCTCGACTGCAAGAAGAGACATCGCACACCCGCTGCACCATACTTTATTATTATAATTCTCGTATATATGTGCTTAGGGATACGAGAATAAAGTGGATAGGAACATTTATGGGTGTAAACCACGCGCGACGTCCACCTGCCCAAAAAAGCTTCGAATATATAAACAGAAGCACCAAAACATCCCACGGCCGCGAGCAGCAACAAGTGCAGCTCTTTATCTCAGCAATGCAGCTGCGACTTGCGTGCGCCATTCTTATCGCTGTTTCGCACTTTCTGCAAACCGAGCGTTTTCCAAACGATCCTTATTTCTAAAATAAACTGCTCGTGACGTTTTGGCACTCGGAATGCAAACAAATGTGTGAAAAGAGCCACACAAGCCTTTTAAGGTTTCGTTGAAATTTTTTTCGCCTAACTTTTTTAGATTTAATCAGAGATCCACAATACTTTTGAGGTTTGAAATCTGTTTCATTAAATTAAAGCAGCTACGCTTGATTATAATTATAAAATCTGATCCTCTAAGCGAAGTTATTCAAGTTTGAGAAAAAGGGGGGAGGTCTTTTTTGGTGAAGTAAAACTATCAAAAGGCCTTAGCGCCTGAAAGCCTCTTCTTGTAACACAGCTGTGTAGATGGGGGCTGCATAAGTTGCAAGGGGCATCCGTTGTCGCTATCGCTTTATAAGCGTAAAATTAAAATTCAAAATACAAGCATAATGTTTGATTTTAATCGTCTCATCATAAAATAATTATCAGCCAATTATGTTCTTAAAGTTAAAAAATTGGGTCTTCAATAAGGTTTAGGTAAATAAAAAGTGGAATTTTGAAGACCGGGCCAGAATTTTTAAATGATGATTTCAGCCCAAAAAGGAAGTTAAACAATAACAAACTGATAAATATCAAGGGAAAAATATCAAAACATGCTGTTGTTGTAGGTGGTAAATGTCAAAGTTGTCTATGTTGATGCGGAAAATATCCAGTTTATCGTGAAAATTGATACACTGAAAAAGCTTCATTGTGCAATAAATTTTATTGATTTAATCTTAATTAGCACTAGAAGTGATATTTAATTTTGGAATATAAATCAAACATGTTAAAAATGTTAAACAATATTTTTTTCATATTTATCCTTTTTCTTAAATTATTTATCCATATATTTGAATAAAAATTGATTGTGTATACAGATTTGTAAACACTAAATTTCTTTTGATAATATTGTTATAAATTATGAACGTTGCATTAAAGGAGTATAGAGATAAATAAAAAATTTAATTTAATTAAAAACATTTTTTGAAATTTGTGTATTTTTTTAATGCAGATCTCCATTGATTGAGTTTATTAAGATTTTTAGTTTTGTAAGTTGTAATATAATATAAGTGGAGAATATATCTCATAATATTCAAATTAAAATACACAACTAATGAATTGTCAAATCCGGATGTTAACAGGACTTTTGTCCAGTATAATATTCTATTCATTTGAAAATCCTTTGTTCTGCTGGGTCACGTGAGGCCCACGGACGATAAGATACACAGACAGGCGTGTCGCGGTGCACACAAATTAAGCCAATTTTCGGTACAAAACGAGGAAAGCGCGAGGCGCGCACGGAGAGCATAATAATATTTATTATTATCTCGGAGCGGCGGGGGCATGAAGGAATGTGGTTCAATAGGGTTCGGGACGGCCGAAACAAATGGTCGCATGCCGTCGTGTGGTTAAAATGTTTAATGCACACTGGTACATATATAAAAGTATGCGTTTGTGATTGGCTGGGGCCCGTCTTGGGAACTGGCTGCCGCGCTTGTTTCTCACGGCCTCTAAAAGTCCAAGAAGGAGAACCTCGCGGGGTGGGCAGCCGCCGACCAGTTCCCCTACAACAAGTGCCGCCGCGGCATTAAATAATTTTCCTGCCTGCTTTTTTTACTGCACGCTGCCAGATAAAGAAAGAAAGAAAGGAAGATCGAGGGGAGTGGGGTGCCCCTTCCAGAGCTACCTACCCGCCGAACGCCCACTACAACGCTCTCACGGTCCCACGGACCTCGCATTCGTCTAGCAGTGCCTCCTCGAGAACAGGTGCATCTATCCGTCTAGATCAGTGCGGCGGCTCTTTTCGAACAAGGGTGGTGCGCGCGGTGGTGTCATCGTCAAGGTCAAAGGTCGTCACCCTGGCATGAGCCCTTCGCAGCAGGCGCCGGCCATGGCCTCGCCACACAGCTCGTCCGGAAGCTCCAGCAGCAGCAGCAGCCCTCCACCCCCGCAAATGACCCCCAACCCCCAGAGTGCGGCTTCACCCCCGCAGCGGAAACCGGTTTCAGAACACCGAAGAGTGAGTTTTATTTTAAATTTAATTAAAACTGGTACAATAGCTTCAATTTCTAAACATAATGAGGCTGAACCTTTTTTTAACTCAATTGCATGCATCACACGCGTTTAAATCTGTTGTAATAATATTTGCACTTAATTTAATGTAAATCAATTTTTAAATTATTACTTTTACTTTAATTAATTTTATAATTTTAAGAATATTTATTATTATTATAATTTTCTAAATTTTATTTCCGTTAAAACAATTTATTTACACATTTATTTAATTTTCATTTGATTAAAATTGAATTTTTATTAGATATAATGTAGACACAAATTCTGTTTCTTGTACAGTAACTTATTAAATATATTTTTATTTATTTCAAATTACTTTTACAATTCTTGAATAAAATTTAAAAAAAAAAAAAATTGTTAGGAACTTTGCTGTTTTGAATGTACAATGTTGAAATTCCTAAAGCTCTGCATGATTGATGATTGCAGTGTAACAAACCAATTATGGAGAAAAAACGACGGCAGCGAATAAATAACTGCTTGGAGGAACTCAAGAGTCTCATTCTGGACGCACTCAAGAAAGACGTAAGTGTTGAACTCTTCCTCCCCCCCCTATTTTATTTAAATTGAAAACAATTTATTATTTAATTATCCGCTGCACTTTAATTAAGAAGTTGACAAAACGCCTCAGTTGTGAGATTAATGGACTGAGTGTATTTATTTTGACCTTGTCACGCCTGCAATGTGGAAAGCGTCCAAGTTTTAAACGCGGCCAGACGTGTGCTCTGTAATTTTTCTCTCACTCTCCGGGCGCAGAAAAAATTACACGGCCCGGAAATTCACACTCTGCAGCTTCTCGTCGTTCATTAGCGCCGCTGATTGGCATCTTGAAAGGGTCACCTGCAAGAGAAGACCCTTGATGTCGCGCGCGTTATGCTTCCTGCCGAGCAGCCGTAAAAAAGCAGACGACGAGCGGCGCCTTTGTGACCCTTGGGGTCGGCAGAAAAATCACTCTCGAGATTAAGAGAGACTTAAAAGGAGTCTCATTCTTTGGGCTGCTTGAAAATCCAGACGCGTGTTTGATACAGACAAATTGGCTGCTCAGCTGTCTGTGTTTGGAAAACAAGGAAATTGCTGCACCCCATTTGTATCATCCATTTCAAAGGGGTTGTTTTTTCTTGGGGGTGTCAACTACAGATATTTTTTCTTTCATTATTTTTATAATATTAAGTTACATATTGTAATTTAATTTTTAAATTGAGACTGTATTTGAAAACATTGGAATTTAAAGTATAAAAGTTTCTTCATTAGAAGAACTGATAATAGAAAGATTAAGTTGAGAAACGATTTATTAATAACAAACCATTTTAATTTGATTTAAAAAAGAAATAATATTAAATTTATTTAAAAAGGGAAAAAATTATACAAATTTTGAAGTAAGTTTGATTTATATTCTTTGATCATTAAAATCTGTTGTCTTGTGTGAAGAAACAAAGCTAGACATTGTCATGCATCTCTCTCTTTCCTGGTTGTTGATCAGATTAATTAAGAAGAAGCTTCACGCGCGGCGGCTGCGGAGATGTTAATTTCAGACAACCTATAAAAATTGAGAGTGACGTCATGCAGCGCACTTGCTGACCCAGTGAGGTCGTGTGACCGTCATGCTTTTATCCCAAAGTCCATAAAGCTCCAGCGGAACAATAGACGCCTCACAGCGCATACCCGGTATTTATTTAAGACCTCTCGCGTACACACACATGGTGTGTGTGGATAATATTTATATAATCGATTCGTGCGCGCGTGAACTGTGTGTGTTTCTAAGAAGTCGAGTGTGAGAAATCCATTCTCACGCCCATTAGCATATCACGCTCTTAAAAGAAGTCACCATGGGTGTCAAAGAGGCGGCAAAAAATATATATTTTACGCGCAAATCGCGCCACATAATATAACACACACGTAAGCAAGTCTTTTACGCCTTTTTTAGAATATATGGCTTGTTTGCTTTCCCAGAACAATTAAGTGTCAGTGCACCTTACACACTTTTCTTCTCGTATTATACCTTATTATGAATTATTTGATTAGTTTATAAAATAAGGAGGAACGAAGCATACAATTTTTTTAAAGCAACAGCACTTAAAAAAATTTAAAAAAAAATAAATTTTAAATATCTTATATTGTTGTATCAATTTTGGAAATGTTATTATTGAATTTGAGTTATAGAGTTATTTATTTTAAAATGGTCATTTTATTTAATTAAAGAGTTACTACCGTTTTATTATTATTTTTCATTAATTTTTATTCTAGAATATGCTAGAATAAAACAGTAACTTTTTAGGATGTACATGGAAAACACATTTATCTAAAACCAAATATCTAATTTTCGTTATTCAAGGAAATAAAGTAATTATCTCCTCAGGCGTTAAAAAAAATAGTTGCCCCAATAATCTTCACTTGACATATTTCCAAAATTGCAAAAATGGAAATTTTATATTTTTACATTTCAATATGAAGTCGATCGTATGCATATTATTTTTCCCCGATAAGAAATCTTAATTAAAAGCCCACAGTAATTGCCAGCAGTGAAGTATAGACACGCGATGACCTTTGGAGAAATCTCTTGAACACAAACACATATGGGGACGATCCGAACCAACAGGTCACCTCTGCGGCCATTATCTTAATGAATGGGATGCAAGCAAGTGATCGCCAACTGCAGAATCTCTTTTGAAAGCAGCTGCGGGAGATGCGTCTAGTATTGATAAAATGTTTCACAATTACGCCAATTACAGTAATGTCGGTTTGCATTAATGAAATGTCAATGGGGTCTTTTCGTGTTGGAAGGGGTCATCGCACACGCATACGTCATTTATCTCAAAAGAAGGACCACTTTGATAAGCATAATTTCTTTAGACTCGGCGACTTTTTGGTTGGGCCAATCGCCGGGTCAAAAGTTGACGCCACACGAACAGAATGATAATAATATAAATTTATAAATAAAGTCGAGAGCGAAGGAGACGGCGCACGTGCACTCGGCTGATAAGACACGCGTCAAGAGAGATGATCTTTCCATATAGAGTTGAAGAAAAGCAAATATCTTATATAGGCGACGAAAAAAACACGAGATAAACTCTTTCTCAAGACGCGTCACCCCTTCGGCGTTATCAAAAAACCAATTCATATACATATAGATATGCATTTTAGCTGCACGCTCCTCCCAGGCTGGTTCAAGGAAATGGTCGCGACGATAAGACACTATCAGCACTCGCCAGCACTAAAAAGTCTCGCTCATTATCAGCAGGAAAAGTAAAGGGTTAACCGTGAGAATGTCGCTGTAGATATATAAAATAACTCGCTCTTGTGTGTCTCGGCATTTCTCACATTTGAGCGAGACGCGCCGCATGGGTGGTGCACCTTAATGTCGAGTTTGCGCCTCAAATTAATAAGCAGTAAACAGGGAGGTTTGATAGGATTTCTAATAGTCTATGCAATAAAATAGAGATTCGCGGTGGCCATGAAATAAAAAGAACTAAGAGTCTAAAACTGCGCCATAAAATTTAATGACCGGCAGTTTAATAAATTTATTTCAGCGGCGGCTCTTTTCTCACCTGAAGAAAGGAACACGTCAAGTGGATTTTTTAATTTTTTTTTATTTGCCTTTTAAATTTGGTGGCTTAATCAAACCTAATTACAGAAGTTATTTGAGTAATAACTATTTGGTATATTTATGCGGTAGACAAAATTTGGGAATTTCTCAACTAAACCCTCCAAGATAATCAAGAGTTTCTCGTTTCCCACGCCAGCTGAGAGGTGAAAACGAATTAGATGCCCAAAGGTGGCCATTAGCTTATATAAACGCCGTCGAGACACAAACTTTCCTGGAGCATTTGCCCGATGAAAGCAATCGCCATTAAAAAACTATTCTCACGACGCAAAATTATACACCTCTATGCAAATCGTCGTCAGCCGCGTGGTATCGCGCGAGGCCCGCGGAATTTCAATAGACGATCATTAGCATTGTAAAAAAATAAAATACTGCCGTGCTGCCCAGAAGGCACGGTAGTAATTCCACTTGATAAGTAGCTTCTTAGACGCCGCTAGAGAGGAAATTAATTTCTTTTAGTGTCCTTAGCCAAAATCTGACTGAATTTATGTCCCCCGTAAGCAATTCAAATTGATTACCGTGATCAGAGGCGGCAAATAATTCGCACCGTTAATGGATGAAAGCCGACTATTTCGTTTAAAAATTTATAGCATAAACAAGAACCAAAAAAATCTACACAAATATAAAAATTGTGTTTCTTATTCTGTTACAGCCTGCTCGCCACTCCAAACTGGAAAAAGCAGACATTCTTGAGATGACCGTCAAACATTTGGAATCTCTGCACCGACAGCAGTCGGCAATGTCCGTGGCCGCCGACCCTGGCGTCCTCAACAAATACCGCGCCGGCTTCAGCGAGTGCGCCTCCGAGGTGGACAAATTCCTTGGAAAAAGTGACAGCCCGCAGCTGGACCCACACATCAAACGGAGACTTCTGGCGCACCTTTCGAGCTGCCTGAACAACGTCACCGCCCTCGACAACATGATCATGTCCCCTGGCAAACCCGCGGCTGAGGAAACCTCGCAGCCCCGAACTCTGCGAGTCCAAATTCCAGCGTCGTCAATGCAAATTCCCCCTGGGGGGCAGCACGTGATGCATTTGGTACCGACTTGTCTGCCTAGTGGCGACATCGCCTTCGTCATTCCCAAGACCATCCGCTCTCCTCCTATCCAACAACTCAGCCCTCCACCCCTGGTTGAACAGCCGCAGTTCAGCCCTGCGGCCCCACCGGCCTCCTTCAGCCCTCCTCTCCCTCCACTGGAGAGTCCGAGGAGTTTGGCGGCGAGGACGGCAGTGGTGGCGCCTCTGTCAGTCGCTCTGGACCTAAGCATTTCCAATGTGCCTCTGAAGCAGGAGGAGGATAAGTTGATGGAGTGTGGTGTGAACGTGGAGCCGGAGGACGTGTGGAGACCGTGGTGAGGGCGAATTCAACTTGGTGTACTTCTTCTTGTGCCATCGCGAGGGTAATCTTGATGAACAGCCTTTTGTGTTGCTGGACAGGCGGTTATTATTTAGAACCGCGAAGAACAATGCTTATAAATATATAAGAAGAGTGTCATGTGAAATGTATAAATTCATCCGTGCCTTCGTTGAGAGTTGCGTTTTCTTGTTGTACAGAGCGCAACCAGCGTTTTTATCTCGCGCATGAAATATATAGTATATTTTATATAAATTATGTCATATTGTATTCTGTGATGATTGTGAAACACGCGCGCAATAAAAAGAAAATTATATACCATTTATTTTTCAAGAATTTAACTGAGATTTATTATTTGCTTTCATTGCCCAAGAATAGCAAGTTCCTGATTTACGAGAGGTTTGGAATTTTTGGAGCCACACTTAAAAAAATTAAAAATAAATAAAATGAAAACTTCCTAAAAATTTGGCTCTCCCTTTAATTATTTATCAAGAGACAATGAAAAACACTAAAAGCTGAAACGCAAAATGACACTCCAAATTTAATTTTTATCCAGAAACATTTATCTGAAATTAAACATTTCACGAAATTTGTGCCCATTTAAAATTAATGAAAAGAGGAATTACGTCTAAAATTCTGATTACAAAAATGGGGCCAAATTAAATAGAGAGCCGATTGATTCATTTTACTGAAAGGTGACTCAATAACTAATCAAAAATAACTCCTTTTTTATTTTTCTTATATGAAATTATCTTAAAATATGTGTAGCTTTTTGTACTCGCAAAGGCCACACGACGTCTAAAAGTTCACACCATCCTTTCTCTCTCTCTCTATCGTATTCTTCCTTGGTTGGTAATGAAAACGCAATCACGCTTGAAAGTACCGTCTGCCGTTTCTCACGGTCAGCATTATTTACCTGCTGCGAACGCCTGCGAGTTATGCAGCATGACGGTCAGCGGCGTCTTCACGGCCTACCTTCCAGGCAGGCGGGCGAGCTCGTGTTTTACAAGTCATCACGAAAGCAGCCAGCGAACTGCTCCTTCGTATCATCTTCATCATGACCGACGGTGTAGCTCATTGTTTCAAAACGTGGAGACAATAGATGGAAAACAAAAGCACCAGAGGTCGTCCATCATTGGAGAGGCGATAATCATCTCCGGCTGCAGCCTGGGAAAATAAGAAAAATATTGTTGTTGTTGCGTCTCGCCGCGCGCCGAGTTTATAGAGAAGACGTTCATTAATATCTCCCTGGGCACGCAGCTAAACAATAAAACACTCCTCGTCATTCCAATCACTAATTAGAGATAAAGCAGCTACTTTGCCGCTTGATGAACTTTCGTCTCTCTGCTGAAATAATACACAAATATATCTCGGCGCAGCAGCACAAAAGGGAGAGAGAATCACCCGCCGAAAGATAATGAATGATCTTCGTTAAACCTTGACCTTTTTAATACGCGGCGAGAGAGCTTCCAGTCACGCTTAAGGATGTGCAGAAAAATCGACGGCCAGCGAGCGGTTCGCAAACAACATTTTTTAATGCTTAATATATTACCTCACACTCAAAGTCATCTTTAAAATAAAACTCGCGCACGGACGGCGGCTCTTTACGAGAGACGCGCAGTGGCCTTGGCGTCGTTGAGCGAGATGCTAAAAGCGTGAAATATAATCGTGCATAATTCGCCCGGCTCACTCTGTTTGCACATTTAACTTGTGTGGACGCGTGAATTTCAGGCGCGCATTGTTGTTACACTCATAAAAGGAAGGAGGAAATTGAATTAACTGAGAGTTTTTAAAATATATACAAATGAGTCAGTGTTAACTTTAGGCATCTGAATAAAAAGAAACAAAAATACACACTTCTGATTTAAATTGCAATCTTCGTCAACAGCATAACCACGAGAAAACTACTGAGATTAATCTTTCGAGGAAATGAAAAACCGTGTACTTCAAGTAACTTTCGTGTTTTTAATCTGGAACCTTCAGTTAATACTTATTACTTTGCTTATTTTGAGCATTTATGTATGTTTCATAATGTTTAAGCCACTTATTTTACCTTATATCCAACTTGGAAACAATATTGAACTTGAATTTTGAATTTTACTTACAATTAGTCAAAAACAATGATACAAAATTTTATTCCTAACAAACGAAATTATTCTGCTAATTTAAAAATTATCTGAAATTAAATAATGTAATTTTATAAATAAATTATTCAATTAATTAAATCAAAATTACAATAATTTTAAAATGTTGGCTTTAGCAAATATACAAATTAAAAATTTTAATACTTTTTGACACAATATTAGGTTTCATTTGACGATGCTTAAAAATCTTTACCAGGAATAAAAATATATTACATTTAATAATTAATAAATAAACTATTTCCTGGTAGTTTCATTTAATTTATTTTCAAAATTAATATCTTCACTAAAATATGCCAAACTGCAAAAGTAGCAATTTATATTTTTATGTTCCGTGGGAAGGGAGACGCTTCTTCAGCTGCCAACCTAATTACAACTTGTCAGATAAGTCATCTCAATTAATCTGCCACCCTAATTTTAGATCTCCGCCCATAGTGCAGAGCGCTGATTGCGACACATTTGCTCCTCCTCACGCTGTCAGCGCTTCTATATGGCTCCGAATTCCTAGGAGTTAATTTCAAAAACATGTGACCAAACTAGGACAGTTTGTTTTCCAGCTGTCAGATATCTAAACGGGTGCTTGGGAATTATATATTAAGCTGTATCCACCACACACAAAACACAAAGCAATGTGTTCTCTGTGCTGACGTTGTGCGTGCGTCTGTTCTTCGAGTTCGAGTCTGAAAATGTGCGTGAGAGAGCGATAAAGGCCACGCACAATTTCGCTCAAGCAACAAGCAAAAAACAAGATCTTTCTAGACTGCAGAAAAAAATATATGTATATCAAGAGACGAAAGAGGATGCTGCGCAATAAAAAAGTAGGGAGATGCAAATAAAATACAGCACCAAAAACAAAAACCACCGGAAGATGATTTGAATAATATATTTATATTTGCAAAGAAAATTATTTTTAAATATTTTTTCACATTTACTAATTTTACTCATTTCATCTGTACACAATGCGCTTAAAAGGTTTTTTATAATTTCATACTCTATATATTTGATAAAGTACATGCAATTGATTGGCCAATTATTCTATAGTATTTTCTGCCACAGCTGAAATTGACTGTGGCATTATGCAGTTTTAATTTAATCGAACTTTTACCCAGAAAGCACAGAAAAAAAATTAAATCTATTTTCCATTATTTTTTTTACAAATTTTTTACAAATTTTCATCTTTTTTAAATTGATAATGTTTTACATTATGACTTTGGGAATCCAAAAATTTCTCCAGGCTCTTTTTAAACGGAAAACCAGATAGAACTAGTCTTGCGGCAAGCCAGAATCATTACCGCACACACTGCATCAGCACGCAATGTGTTTTGTTGAGCAGAAAATTTGACGGGCATGCAATCGCCAAACATCAGTCAAAGGCGAAAATCTCACGTTTCATCCTAAAGCTCTGCTCACACGCTGTGTCTGCTGCACCAATCGACCAAGTTACATGCATTGCTTCGCCACCTCTCGTCATGCATTTTGTGGAAATAAATAACTTTTGGGGCAAAGAGATAAAGAAGTTAAGTAATAAGAAGCGTTGAGCGTGGATTCTCACGCCTTGACGCGACCCGTTGACGAGCAGGACGTGCAATGTGTTGTTTTCACAAGGGTTTGGTTCCAAAACCGATTCCCTATCTAGCTCGTGTCAGCTTGGGTGGCCCCTTTTTAGCCAGGGAGAACCATTAATAAAACCATCCAATTACCTTTGAGACGTGTGTAATTGCATTTGATCGCACTTTGGGAACTCAAAGGGGGTTTATTATAATAGGGACTTATTATGCGTCAATGAATTTGTTCCAAGACGACGACAGAATGTGGGTGGTAAATAAGGTCCTTGCTTTTTATTTTAGCTGGTGAACAGCTTTTTTACGAAATGCAACCATTGCATGACGAATGAAATTTAAGTACATTAGAGTGGATTTGATATTTACGGCTGAGCGTTTTAGTCGATCAACTATTTTTTTCGCAGGATGTTAGGGTTATGAAATGAGCACAAATCATGCAAATTCGAGTCGATTAAGCTAGGGTCAAAATCGACTAAAATCTAGAAAAAAAGCTTTAAAATAGTGTGAAAGAGCAGCCTTAACTCTTAATTTTACGGCACAATTGCTGAGTTTTTTGCTCCGCTCGTATTTAGCACCAAACATGCTAATATTGAAATACTGAGATCTCAGTCAAAGTATAGCTCGCACTGCTTCAAAATCTAGAAAAAAAGCTTTAAAATAGTGTGAAAGAGCAGCCTTAACTCTTAATTTTACGGCACAATTGCTGAGTTTTTTGCTCCGCTCGTATTTAGCACCAAACATGCTAATATTGAAATACTGAGATCTCAGTCAAAGTATAGCTCGCACTGCTTCAAAATCTAGAAAAAAAGCTTTAAAATAGTGTGAAAGAGCAGCCTTAACTCTTAATTTTACGGCACAATTGCAGAGTTTTTTGATCCGCTCGTATTTAGCACCAAACATGGTATTATTGAAATATTGAGATCTCAGTCAAAGAATAGCTCGTACTGCTTCAAAATCTAGAAAAAAAGCTTTAAAATAGTGTGAAAGAGCAGCCTTAACTCTTAATTTTACGGCACAATTGCAGAGTTTTTTGATCCGCTCGTATTTAGCACCAAACATGGTATTATTGAAATATTGAGATCTCAGTCAAAGAATAGCTCGTACTGCTTCAAAATCTAGAAAAAAAGCTTTAAAATAGTGTGAAAGAGCACACTAAATAAAGTCGACTATTTTGACCTTAAAAATAGACTAAAATGCTCAGCCCTAATTATATTGACTTATATTGAAGAGCCCTAATTATATTGACTTATATTGAAGTTGTTGTGCTAAATTTCAATTTAGTAAATTTATTATTTAAAAAAAGTTGATTTTTAAATTGATTAACTTTGTAATATTTAAAGGCACTTAAGTTTATTTTTTAACAACGAATATTTATTAATTAACATATTAACAATGAAAATGCTAACAAACAGTTATTAAATTTAAATTCAATAAAAGTATTGATTATAAAACAACAGGCTCTACTCAACATTATTTAAACACTGCATTTAATTGTAAATGCAAGCAAATTGTAATAAAAATTTCAAATTTACTAAAAGAAAAATTAGTAAATTACCATGAAAATAACTATTTACAATACAGTACAATACTATAAAAGTAAAAATCAATTGAAATAATCTTAACAACTTGTTATTAAATTAATAATGCTA